AATTGTTGAAAACATCCATTCATAATAACACTGTTGACAGAGTCAATGAAGAGGAGTGTTTTCCAGAGAGGTGTTGATTGGTCAGCATCTGCATCTGGCATGGAACTTATCTTGTGTACATGAAATGTTAAGATTAGCACCAGACCATATTTATAGGCTGCTGTTTACTGTGCTGCAAGACACAAGAGTCTCTGTACTGGCTTCACACCCAGCCTTAGTCTGTCTCACAGTCCCTGAACCACATTATTTTCCCTACAGCCTAGCCTTCCCTGTAGTGCTAAAGCCCTAAACGAAGCAAGTCTAGATTTCCCCAGGTTCTGAATCTCTGGTCTCCCTAGGGCTCCTTTTCAATTTAAATGGGCTTGTTTGTTACTATCAAAATTATATTTATTCAGAGACTAAGCCTTAGTCTAACCCAGCCTGTGCAGGATACATGTCCTCAGAGACATTTTTGAATGGTGGGATGTAAACAGATTCATGGTGGTAAATGTTGGGACTTCAGCTACAGATCTAATTCCAGTCATATGTTACAGGGCAGGGATGTCCCACTAGACTAACACCTAGTCTCTGAACATGTATAATTTTGATACAATTAAATAAACCTATTTTAAGTTGAAAATGAGCCCCAGTGAGATGGAAAAATCAGAACCATGGGTTATCTGGACTTGCTTCATTTAGGGCTCAAGCTTTGCAAGGACTGGGTGAAAGGGAAAATAATGTGTTTTAGGGACTGTGATCTGTGATACAGACATGCGAATACCATAAATTGAGAAAGAAACAAATTAGGCATAAATGGTTTGACTCAGCAACTTGTTAAACTTGTTGGCCAAGAGACTATCCTATGAACTGAACATATTTTACAGAATCTTATTTTAAGTTCTTAATATATTGAACATGAAATAATGAAAAAAGAGCTTTTGAGATGTTCTGCAATAACCTCATCCTGCCAGTATGTTAGATTTGCATGGGCCGTATTGGACATACTTGTTCCATAGTCTTTCTGGCAGACTAGCAGGCACTTGAGTGTAATATATATAAAAGATAAAAGTGAAACATGTTGGAGAAGATCCGTGTCGTGTGATTATTTCAGAAACTTCTTCTTATATATATATATATATATACATGTCTTTCCAAACATTTTACTCACCAAATGTTTACAGATACCTCAAACAGTTTCTCAATAGAGTATCTACTGAAAATATTTTGCCTCATAACTATATGCCTGAAAAATTACGATGTAAGTCAAGTTTGTATGTTTGTTCCTTATCAGTTATGTCATAATGGATTGATGGTGCCCAGTGAACTCGTGCTTCTCAGTTCTTATAAACAGTTACATCCCTTTTTACACTGGCAGTGTTCACGAATGGTGTTTCAAGTTTCAGATGTCTGTCTCACCCATTGAAAATTCACACATTCCAGATTCAACATTTCTTACAGCTGGCATTGAAATTATTAACAAACATTAGATTTATAAACAGCAAACAAGTGTCACATGTCACATATAACAACTTCAGTTAAAGTCATAGTGAAATACAGTATACAGTCAGACACAGGGGCTGGGGTTGGGGGGGTTGTAGACTTCTATTGGACCTGTTGGTGACTCTGCGGAATTTGTCAGAGAGTCAGACGCTATTCATGAACACTGCATCAGGATGTGCAAGTGATAGGTCTGAATTAAAGATACACCTACCCTAAACTTAATTTTTAGTAGATTTTAATGTCTTTATTCGCAAGCAAAACATCCAAACAGAATTTTAAAAGACTGGATATGAGGGTAATGTCAGTGACTGGATTATTGCATTTTGTTTGTTGTATGGGCGGTGGATGAGCCACAGATGTTAAAACTAGTGGTTAGCAAACATTCACAAAGTTCGAATCAAGTGGTAATGAAAGATTTAGAACAAGTGATTAGGAAACATGTACCAGCTACAGAGAATGGGGCAAAATGGCAAAATGGCTCGGTGTCCTGACAAAAATATTGTTTGCCAAAAAAATATGTCAACTTCTCCTCCCACAGAAGAATTTTTTTTTTTTACTTTTAAAACTAAAAAATAACCTCACGAAAATCCTTGGCTTCCCCTCAAAGCCTGAATACAAAATGGTGGGTCCTCCCTTTCAAAGGCTAGATGTCCTGAATTCATCAAGTGCAGGTTTCTCTCTGTGTCACGGAATACTTCCTTGACAAAAAAACAGTAAGCTAGATGTAAACAGCGAATAGTTGAGATTGTGCCGCCCCACCCTTGGATAGCCACCAGTACTGATTAAATACGTCAGAAAGGGTTGAGCTAATTAAACTAGATTGGCTAGTGTTATACTGGCAGAGTCTCTAACATATATGTGTTCCAAGATACAGTGCACCCCAGCCAAACTAAACACTGCATGGGTGTACACATCTTCAATTTCACTTGTTCATAGTTTACTTTGTCAAAGCACCGTATTTGCCATAATAAGTGGACTGGATGATTAAATAATTTAACAACTTACAAAATGCATTTACAATGAGTTAAATTTGTCTTTTATTTGTGGTATTCAACAAAATTATTTCAAACATTGGTGAGACTAAAATACTTTCCATATGAGCCGCTCCGCAACTAATACATTTCTTCGACATAAGTCCCCATGGTCTCTAGCATGGTGATATACTTTCATTTGTGTAGAAATATCATTTTATGCTAACTTTCTAGTTTTTAATGTAAATCTGTGATATTCTAGTTATTTTACATTGTTGACAGTTATGCATGTTGTTTAAGTTTGTTTTTGTTACTATGTAGCCTTTATAGTCATGCTAATGCTTCAGTTTCCTTCACTCTGTAAGTTTTTAATAAATTTCCCATCAAAGACATTGTTTAAACATGTAGGACCAGAGTGTAATGAAAATGTTTGCCTTTGTCGATCACATCTTAAAAACTTTGCTTTTGTCAATCTAAGTATGCTTTAAAAAAGTGTAATTCTATTGATGGAATCCAAAGAAAACAGTTCCTTTCTTTTCAACAGATATTCATTATGATCTAAAAGTTGCTTGTCAACAAGACTGTGTAAAATTCTGTCAAATGTTAAGAGCTCATTCATCTTTAAGAAATTCAAAACAGTCTCAAGTTTCTGACATTTGTGTTTGTAATTCCTAGTCCTCAGCAGTGTAAAATGAACACTGTATTGAGCTGGAACACATGGTGAAGTGAAAGGTGATACCGCCTTGCTTCCATTCAGTATCTTGATTAACCCACCACATGTCCAACTCCCTGTCAAATGTCAAACAGCAGAAATCTGAGCCCTCTCTTGTGGTTAGGTTGGAACTAGTGGTTAGGAAGATTATGTTGGCTACTGGGTTAGAACTTGTAGTTAGGGAGAATTTACTGGCCAAAAGGTTAGATTAAGTGGTGATGAAATATCTGCCTGCCACAGAGATTTGAATAAGTTGTTAGGAAACATGTACTAGCCACAATGGTTAGAACCAGTGGTTTGAACAAGTTGTAAGGAAACATGTACAAGCCATTGATTAGAACAACTGGTTAGGACTCAATTACTAGCCACAGAGATTAGAACTAGTGGTTAGGAAACTTTTGCTAGTCACAGAAGTTAGAACTAGTGGTAAGGAAACTCTTACTAGCCACAAAGGTTAGAACCAGTGGTTTCAAAATGTTTATTGGCCACAGATTAGAAGAAGTGGATAACAAACAAATAATATATATTCGACTGGTGGTATGGAGATTTTTACTGGCAGCAGAGGTAGTTACGAAACATTTACCAGCCACCCAAGCTTAGATCGAGTGGTAATGAATGATTTGAAAGAAGTGTTCAGGAAACATTTACTAGCTACAGAATATGGAACATGCTTGATGTCCTGACAAAATTATTGTTCTGGAAAAAAAATATAAAAAAATTCAGAGTTGAGCAAATCTATTTCTATATTGTGTCATACAGTTTGCGGTATCTGAAAATACCAGCGATTTCCTGTATGAAACTGAGACTTCAGGTTATCAAACACTGAAACTGGTATGATGCTAAAAGCTCTAATATTTTGAGTAGTGACTTTGAAGGTCAGAGTACCATCATTGACAGTACTCACGTACTTTTCTGTAATTTACTTCACAATTACAGTGATAATGGATAACAAATAATAGTATGGGAATTCACGTTCAAATTGATGATGATCATTAAGAAGGTTGAGTTAAAAAATGATTGTTAAAAATGTTGAAGTGAGTGTAATGTGATGATTATGCCAAATTATTATTGGATGTCTATATGTGGATGTCTAATCTGCTGCGGCTGTTGGTGTCGATGATGATGATGATTTGTTGGTGATGAAGTTTGTCATGTTCTGCTGTTGATAATGGGGATGGTAGTGATAATGATGAGATGATTACTGGCCATAATGATGTGAATGACATTTATGATAATGATCATGATGATGATAAAGATGATAATACTGGTTACAATTGTGGTGATTGTGAATATGTTCTTCTGGTGATAAGAGATGATGATGATGATAGTAAAAATCTTCTGCTGGTGGTAATATTAATAATGATGAATATGTTCAGTTACTGATAGGTGGTGGTGATAATAATGATGATGATGATGATGATGATGATGATGATGATTAATGTCAATGTTGATGTCCTGGCCCCGATTTCTCGAAACAAACTTAAGTCTGAGTTTTTACTCAAATTTGAGAAACTGCATTTCCCAGAATGAACTGAAATCGATATTAAACTCAAACATAGTAGGCAATTTGAGTTTGGTGAATAGAATACTTAAGTTGTTTGAGCTTTTTTATTCAAAATATGCAGCTGAGTTCAAAATTCAGATGTTTCAAATTGTCAACCTCAGTTTGAAATTTGAGTTTGTTTCGAGAAATCGGGGCCTGGTGATGTATAAGATATTTTGTTCATGGTTGATGGTGACAGCATCGACATTTAATGGTAGCAGGGAAGTGTTCTGAATATGGACAACAGCACAATGTTAGCAATGACTTCTCACTAACATTTTTCATTACATTTCAGAATTATACATGAAAAGGGGTATTCGCAAGAAGAATGTTTACAGTATAAGCCAGTGGTGTACAGCAACACGATCCAGTCAATGATTGCAATCATCCGCGCCATGGGGCAGCTCAAAATCGACTTCGGACACCCAGATCGGGCGGTGAGTATGCCACTATTGATGCTGGAACAGGCAAACATGTGTATTCATGGACTATATATTCTACAATGTTTGTTGTGTGGTATCTGGAATGGGTCCAGTCTGCTCTGTGGACGTGCGACCATTGGTCCTGTCATGTTCTGAAGGTAATGGGGTCAGATGCAAGGTTATTACATAAAATGCACTGATTATGGACTCACCGGGTCGTGTGGGTTTCCTAAGATAAACAAACCTCAGGATTTAAATTCATCTTCAGCGACTCACTCACTCAGACTTGTTTATTGAGACCATTGGCAAAGCAACTCACTCATGAGGACAAATGAAACCAGCTCCTCTTTAGCCCACCCATCGTAGGACACAGGTCTACATTTCTTTAATTGACATTTCTTGGACGTTGACAGATCTAGGTATAAGCAGATACAAGTCTACTGGGACCCTTTTTCACAAAGGCAAAGTGTGAAGCCTATTTCTGGTGCCCCCAGCCGTGATATTGCTGGAATATTGCTAAAAGCTGGCTAAAACCATACTCATACAATCACTCACTCTCTCAACCTGTGAAGGTCCGGGTTAGAATGCACCTTCAGTAACCCATGCTTGTCGTAAGAGGCGATTAACGGGATCGGGTGGTCAGACTCGCTGACTTGGTTGACACATGTCATCGGTTCCCAATTACGCAGATCGATGCTCATGCTGTTGATCACTGGATTGTCTGGTCCAGACTTGATTATTTACAGACCGCCGCAATATAGCTGGAATATTGCTGAATGCGGCGTAAAACTAAACTCACTCACTCACTCACTCACTCACTCTCTCCCATAGTACAGTTCAGTATACAACTTTCAGAGCACGACAACTGCTTCATGAAATAAGACTCTGAACTTGCTTCATATCAAAGACTGCTATCAGTTGTATTTCAAATCTTGTATATAATGAATGTCTTGTAACCTGCATGTCTTGAGACCTTAACAATCAGACATTGTCTGTTTGTGTGCTTGTAGAAGATCATAGTAAGATGACGTCGCCATTGTAATCCGAGGTGAAGGTCAAGGGTTGGGATGTTGACTTTTCCATGTATGGAAGGTTTACCTGTGCCCCATGACATCAATCCATGGCTGATCTGGCTTACCTTGGCGAGTGGAGAGAGCCTGGAGAGTTCCTCAGCCCCGAGGGTTTTTCCTAATCTGCCACTAATCCAGCCTGTGCTTGTGGTGTCAAGGCAAACGGTGGTCACGTGATGCTCTGAGCACACTTTTGCCCAGCTCATCTGTGCACACACGCACGTTTTCTGACTGGTTGTCACAAATCCCAAATAGTCGCATATATTAAATATGTCCTTAGGTGGATTTCCTTTGAAAACTGACTTCACTGCTTAGTTTGTGTTTCCATTTTGGATGTTTGATGATGTTATTGACAAATACATGTTTGGTTACCATAGCAACTACACACAGTATATTCTATTCGTCTGTAAAATACACATGCATACTGGGTTAGAATTGGTCCCAAGTAGTCTGTTGCTTGTCGTAAGAAATTATTTAAATTTATAAAATTGAAAGGATCTGTGACTTCAATAACAGAAAGTCGTCATTCCCTAATGTCATGGGATGTAGTTCATAATATCAACCACTGGTCTGGTCTGGTCTGGTACAGTACCTCATGGCTTTCTCACTGTGGAGATCTCAGGATGGAATAGGTTTATTAGTGGATTATTGATAGACTCTCCATAATCATCCCCATCAAAATTGGGTGGGATATTGAAGTAATATGGGCCTAGGAATACTGAGGTAGTTGTTTAGCTAATGTAGCTAGGTTTGGGGAGGTTTACAAGTAGTGGTGATTGTCCCTGGTGTGGAGACTAATGGAGTCATGGCAGTGTCTGTCCCCTGATCCACAGCCACTCAGCACATCGCTGGTGAATGCCAGGAAACAGACGCGGAAGGAAACGAGTAAACTTATCATGTTACTATTCATATTACATATACCATGTATATACATTAACACTGTCTGTATTTTCAAATTCTACTGATCGGCATTGTTCCGTTGCCATGCCAACCAAGACCATGGAGAATTTGACATTATGACATTGGCCTCAATATATTTGTACATTAGAACTGATGGCAGTCGGTGAGCAGCAGAAGATGAGAGGGTGTGTGTGTGTGCCACGGTCTCCTTACTTGCTCATGGGGCGATTAAGATACTGGTTAAGAGAGCATTATCTCATGACAGGAACTTGTAGCATGTGTAAAGGGAGTATTGATCACTTTCATCGTACGTACACGAGACTGACATAGAAATCACGAGCTGGCCAACAATGAGCAAAAACGCTCATGTCTTGTTTGGTGTTTCCATACTTGACGAAAGAGAAGAGTAGTTGTGAAAGCAAAATTTCAAAATGTCTGCACAGTAATGGAAACTTTAGCCTGAACTTTGAGTGGATTTTGTTCCTACTTGATGCTGTTTTTTGTTTTATGAGTGCGGTTGGGTAGCCTAGTGGTTAAGGCGTTCGCTCGTCACGCCGAAGTCCTGGGTTCGATTCCCCACATGGGTACAATGTGTGAAGCGCATTACTGGTGTCCCCCCGCTGTAGCCTAGTGGTTAAGGTGTTCGCTTGTCACACCAAAGACCCGAGTTTGATTCCCCACATGGGTAAACTCACTCACTCACCTTTGTTTTATGTTATCATATTACCAGGTTGTCTTAACCTAGGGACAGTCCAGAACTGTAAGTATAACTTATGAATATGTTAGGGTGTAAACGTGTGTATCGTTGAATACAACAGTCAGTGGTTTGTCTGGTCCAGATTTGACTATATTGAGGCTGCTATCATTGGCTAGGTTAGTGATGAGAGAAAGTGAAGCAACAAACTAAATAATACAAAGATATAAGAAAAATGAATAAACTGAAGTAAGACTTTATATTTAGAAAGTGGTCAAATGTAATATATATTATATTTGGGATTACACTTTCTCAGTATAGTAAATCCGTGAAGGTCCGGGTTAGAATGATGGCCTTCAGTAACCCATGCTTATCGTAAGAGGCGACTAACTGGATCGAGTGGTCAGGCTCGCTGACTTGGTTGACACATGTCATCGGTTCCCAATTGTGCAGATCGATGCTCATGTTGTTGATCACTGGATTTTCTGGTCCAGACTTGATTATTTACAGACCACCGCTATATAGCTGGAATATTGCTGAGTGCAGCGTAAAACTAAACTCACTCACTCACTGAGGAAAGTAAAGATTTTAGTACTTTTGTTGCTGAGTCCCAGCTGGGATTCAGACACCTTGTGTAAGCAGTGGGTTAGATTGCTGGCTTTAGTTGCTAGCAATTAGGTGCCTAAATCTTGGTCAGGGATTATCAAGTGAGAAACCAACATCTAGACAACTTTTCACTAATATTCTCTTTTCACTGTAGTGTGTTTCCCAACATGCCTGAACAAGCAAAAAGATTTGTTTCTTTCGACAGAGAGCAGTAAAAATATTTCAGTTGACAAACCAAACCAACATATGATGAAACATGATCGGACATTCCATGCAACAGGAAGAAAGGCTATCTTTAAAAACATCAGCCATTACACGATTCATCCTCCAGTCAGGATGGCATGCTGAGCAGCTAAATAAAACATTTTGACAACTATGTGTTTCATGGGTTTGTAGTGGTTTCCTTCAGGGTATGAGACGAATGTCCTCCTGACTTAAGAATGGTATTATCAGGGTTGGGGGCCAAGGATGGTATTCACAGAGGGTGGGACCAAGTGTGGTAATCACAGGGAGTGGAGCCAAGTGTGGTATTTGCAGTGTCTCAGATCAAGGATGGTATTCACAGGGATGGAGCCAAAGCTGTTATTCACAGGGGTTGAGCCATAGGATGGATGGTATTGGTACTCACAGGGACCAAGTGTGGTATTCACAGGAGGTGGAGCCAAGCTGGTATTTGCAGGGTCGGATCAAGGATGGTATTCACAGGGATGGAGCCAAAGCTGTTATTTACAGGGGTTGAGCCAAGGATGGTATTCACAGGAGGTGGAGCCAAAGCTGTTACTTACAGGGAAGGCGCCATAGGATGGTATTCACAGGAGGTGGAGCCAAAGCTGTTACTTACAGGGAAGGCACCATAGGATGGTATTCACAGGAGGTGGAGCCAAAGCTGTTACTTACAGGGAAGGCACCATAGGATGGTATTCACAGGAGGTGGAGCCAAGGCTGTTATTACAGGGGGGCACTATAGTATGGTATTCACAGGGGATGGAGCCAAAGATGGTATTCACAGGGGATGGGGCACCCATATGGTGGTATTCAGGGGGATGGGGCCAAGGATGGTATTCACAGTGTCAGGCTAAGGATGGTATTCATAGGGGGTGGGGCCTAGGCGTGAAGGGCAGGGACCAAAGATGGTATTCACAGGGGTGGACCAAAGATGGTATTCACAGGGGGTTGGACCAAATATATGGTATTCACAGGGGGTTTCAAGGGGCCAGGGTGGTATTCAGGGGGAGTCAAGAATGGTATTCATGAGGTTTGGGGCCAGGGGGTGGGGCCAAGGATGGTATTCATATGCTGACAATGTTACCTGTTGTGAGTGTGGCCATGCATAACAGTAAGTGGTTACGATCATTGAACTTGTTTTGATGGGTCAGGAGTACTTTGTAACATTATCCCAAATTATTATTTCACTTTCAGGATTGGATTTTTCAATATCAATATCAATAAATTTCTATCAGCACAGTGTCTACATATAAATTGTGCAGATACATTAATATCATGAAATATGACGTCCCTTCTAAGAACTGCATGACTACAGTGAACAAGTAGACATTCATTGCTATTACTAAAGGCAAGCTACCCGTGAAGGTCCGGGTTAGAATATTGATCTTCAGTAACCCAAGCAAGTTGTAAGAGGCGACTAACAGGATCAGGTGTGGTCAGGCTCGCTGACTTGGTTGACACATGTCATCGGTTCCCAATTGCGCATATCGATGTGCATGCTGTTGATCACTAGATTGTCT